TCATTTATCAAACTTAACTCATTAAGAAACAAATAAATCAATTTAACACTCCTCCATTGATTTTTGTGGTATTTCAAAATTCTTTTTATATTTATTATTTGCATCATCAATCAATGCCTTCAGTTGTTCATACAATTTTTCTTTATGTTCAACTTGTTTTTCAAAAAGAAGAGCATAATACTTTTTTGCTTGATACGGTCGATAAGAATTTAACGCTTGGTGCATTGTAGAAATCAATAACCGAAGATGATAAACATAAGGTGTAATAACCTCATACCTATGTGGTTGATTCATTTGTTTAGAAATAATGGCAAGATATGCCACAAGGATTGAGTGGTTTAATTGTTTTAACTGATCTCTTACATCTTTTGTTCTATCAAGTATCTCACTTGGAAACAAATCGCTTTCCTCTCTTTTGACAGTTCTATTAAAAGAAAAATAAGTTTCATCATCACCTAAACAAGCAGGGGGTTTAGGCCAAGTACTTTCATCATTACTTTCCCATTCTTGAATAAAGTGAGGAGGATCAAGGTATTTTTCCGCTGACATCTTTGAATAACATTTTAAGTTTTATTATTTGTGATATTAAAAAATAAAACAAAAAAAAATAAATTAAAAAGTTAGTTTTCAATTAATTGGTTTAATTCACTTATAATCAATTTGATTGCTTCTTTATCAATAGGTTCTTTTTTATATTGTTCATTTAATTTAGAAATAACATCAGCGATTACCTGGTGTTGTTGTTGGGATTGACAATTCTCTTCATTACTTTTTTTCTCTTTATTTACTTTTTTTGTATTTGGTGTTTCTCCCCATGGGGATTCAACAATCCATGATGGAGTTTCATTTGAGTTAACAGCTTCAAGTGTTGCAGGTGATGCTCTAGTACCAATAGGTCCAGAAGAATTCATAGAAGAGTAATGACGAGAACTAGACGAATCTTTCTTTCCATGTAAGAAAGATGTTAATTTTTGGGTAATATTTGGTTGTTGTGTTTGTTGAGGTTTAGGAACAATAGGATAATTTCCTTCAGCAATATTAACTGCTAATTTAATTAAATTATGAAGATTTTCGACAGGTGGGAATTTAGTTACTCTTTTCATAATATAGATATAGTCATCATGTTCTACAATATCGTTTCGAATGTAATGTAACATTGCTAAAAAGAATCCATCACAAAGCTTTAGCGAATTACCGTAAGCAAATATAGCGTCCCATATTGTCACAGAATCGGCTAATAAAAATTCTCTTGCAAACATCATTTTTAACCATTTAATACCAAATACACTTAATACTTGATGTTTTAATAAAATTGAATGATATTGACTATCATATTGATTTAAATTATCAAAGATTGCTTCACATTTCTCTTGAATCTTTGAACTATTGTCTGCCACACTTCGTTTGAGATCTCTAAATTCATATAATACACCAAGGTCTTTCATAAGATATTCGAAAGTAATGTATGTATCTTCCTCAAGATATTTTGTATTAAACATTTCTAATAAAATCTTATTTCATTATTATCATATTTCTAATGTATTTAAATAAATAAAACAACTACAAACAGATTTATTTGGTTCTTCTAAACTAATTTGTTCAGAATGTTCTTTAATAAAAGTAGTATTAATATCAGTATCAAATGTATGATATATAATTGCCATAATTTCATGAAATCCTTGTTGATAATTTTTTTCTGTATGATCCTTAGCAAAAACATAACACATTCTTGTAATTTTTTCTCTAAATTGTGGATCAGTAAAGTACTCTTGATCAGAAAACAACCTATTAACATCTGCTTCAACTCTCCTAAGAATATCTTTATTAAATTTAATTTCTGGGTCTTCTGTAGGTGGAGCTAAAGGATCAACAAATGCAACTTTTGGTTCTAACTTTTCTTTATTTTCCCAATGCCTTTAATTATCAGTTATGAATTATATACAATAATAATAACAAACATTGCCCTTAAATCATCATAATTCTTTCGTTGTTTATTCATTACCTCAATCCATTCTTCACTGGCTTGAGGTTTGATTATTTTTAAGAAAATTTTCCATGCAAGTGGACGTAATGCCTTATTTAATCCTTCTTCAATGGCAATTTTCTTTAATTTTTCAAACCCATTAGATTCAAGATAAAGACTTTTGAAAATGTCTGTAATTGAATCACTCATCAATTAATGAAAGATGTCGCTTTCTTTTTGAGATTTTTTAAGTTTTTAGAACTATACTTTAAGTATATTTTTAGTTTTTTTTTACTTTTTATTACATAAAATTTTTCCTTGTTACTTCATTTTTCTTCAGTTAAGAAAATAGAATCTTGGAAAGAAATAAAATAATATTTATCTTTTAATTTTTTTAAACAATATTAATACATCTTTAGATCAATTATTACTCTTCATTTTTACTCAATTTTATTCACTTTATCCTTCAATTCATTTATTATTTTATTTTTTATCAATTTTAATTAGAGTCTTTTTTATATTTTAAAAAATAAAATTAATTGAATTATTATACATTTTATTGACTTGTTATAATATTATTAATATTATTATAGTATTAATAATAACCTTATTACACAAGACAGTCTTATAAACAACTAATAATTACTTCACTTAGATTATAATGAAGAAAACCAAAAAAAAATATCTTTCTTTTTACATGAAAAAATAATATTCATTTAAAATTTTTGTTATTCATAATTAATAAAAAAAAGAATAGTCATTACTTTATTATCTTGAACTTTTGTGACAATACTTCTTTTACTGTAAAACATTCCTAAATTTAAAAAGCTCTCTTTTTCTAAATTAATGTTATTACAAAAACATCAAAAATGATGTTTAAATCAATTGCACAAAATGCTAATTCTATAAACATTCTTGATTGATTGGTATGTTCTAAGTATTTTATAAGAGAATATTTTTTAATGAGTTAGAAACAGTTTTCTATTTGATGAGGTATAATGTCTAGACAAACTCAACAACATTTGTAATTTTAAAAAAAGTAAATCTTCAAAATACTATTCATTCTTTTCATGTCTGAAGCACACCAAATTTATCCTTCTCTTGTTGTTACATTTAATGAAGATGTTAACAATCTAAAAGAATTATCTAAAGGAACTATATTAGAACCGTTTTTTACTGACAATAGTCCAATTAGTAGTGATATGACTGAAATAGTTGCTGTAACTGATTACATTCAAAAAAATTCATTAGCCGATCTTCCTGATGTATTTGTTTGTGAGAAGGTAGAAAAAATGATACAAGGAGGGGTCAAACCTTTTCAAGCGATGGAATTTGGTAAAGTTTTAGGGAATAATGATAGGATGAGTTTATTCTTTGAAATGATTAAACCTTCAACAATGTATGTTATTGCTCGAGAAGATGAGAATAAAATTTTAAGACTATTTCTGTTTGGGCTTTATAAAATGAAAGCACTCTCTCCACCTGTTCTACATATTGTTAAACAAATGTATTTTGAACCAATGAATATTCCATGTCAATCGAAGATTAAAAAACCAAAGAATGAAATTTCTGAATTAGTTAATTATAGACTAGGAGACATGGAAAATGCCTTAGATGAAATGAGAAAGAAAGTTAGTCAATTGAAAATGAAGATTACTCTAATTGAGTCTGAACATTCACCAATAATTCAGACAAACAATATCCATAAAGAACAAGTAAAAATTCAACCGAAAGATAATCCTTTTATTTTTGTTTGTAGGGAGAATAAAACGTATATTAAAGTTATTGATGGAAAACTAAGAGGAAATATTTATTATGTTGATTATAGTAGTGAAAATCTATCAATTAAAATGGAAAATGACCAACTTTTTATTACTGACTCTGAAGGAAATAGTATTGATATACATCAATTGGATAAATCACAGAAAATAGAATTGTTATGGGAAGTGATTGATCCTATCTTTAACAATAATGTAGAAGATATGAATGTTGAGTCAAAAACACTTAATGAAAATTGGAAGTTATTTGATGATTTATTAAATAATATTTAATATTTTAGTTATTAACTTATTAAATTAATTTGTTTTTCGTTTTGTAATAATAAAAAATCAAATCACTTTATTATCTATTCAAGTTCTTCATTTTGTTCATGTTCATCACTATAACTATTTTCTTCATTACCATTAACATCTTCATCAATGCTATCTTTCATTTCTTCATCAACACTATCATCTTCAACAAATTCTTTACGAGCTTTTTCTAATAGTTTTTCATTCTTAAAATCAAACCCACTGGCTTTAACTTCTTCATCTAAATTCTCTGTTTGCTCAATATCTTTTAAAGTAATAACTTCTTCAGTTCCAAATCCAAACCTTTTCCAAAAAAAGGTTTTAATACATCCAACATCACGGTCAAAGAATTCTTCAGCTTCAGAACAATGAACACTAACCATTTGAGGAAAATCAATCATTGTCAATTTGTCATCATCACTTAATATAAGATTAAATTCATTCAAATCACAATGGATTAATCCACATTCAGCTAATTTAACTGCAAGATCAAGTCCTTGATGGAAAACAGCAATAGGCTCTTCTATTTCTCTAACATTTGCTAATAAAGTTCCTTTAACTCGTGACATTAAAACACAATGTCTATTACAATCAACTGGGACTGGAGTAGGGAAACCTTTTGCATATAATGCTTTCATGAAAGCAAATTCTTTTTGAGCAGATAAACGAGATAAATACAACCAATTGGTAGTCACACGACCTTTTGTATAATCTCTTTTCTTTTTGACAGCTCTAAATGATGTTCTTCCTAATCTATGGAATTTTAATACTAAGTCATCTCCTTTTTCATTAGTTGCTAAATAAATATCAGCTTCTTTACCAACACCAATCTTTTGTGCAACACCAGTTATAACTCCTCGTTGTGTAAGTGTTCTTAATGCAAGATAATCATAACCAAGATATGTCAGTCTATATCCATTATATGGCATCGTTGAATGCCAAACAAGTTTGTGTTTATGTAAATCTTTCATAGACCGAACTACCAAGGATTGGTTTAATTTAGAAATTTGAATTATTAATTCTAATGGTACTAATTCGTGATTACGCATTCCCATCTCAATGGCTGTTAATACCCTAAACTCTTCTTTAGACATAAACCGAAAAAATGATGGGTCAAGCTTCACCATAGTAAATACATTTTAAAATTCTTTTGTTTTTTTCTATTTTTATAATATTTTTTGTTTTAGGTTTTTACTATAAAAATAGTATAATAATACCATATACAATAGTTTATTCAAATATAATAAGAGAATTACTGTATGTACATCTAAATTATAGTAAAATATAAATTAAAGAAAATCCATTGGATTAAAGAAGAAAAATCCTTAAGTTATTGAGACGAGAAAAAGAAAAAAGTATAAAAACCCTAAAGCGGAACTTGAGATAATGTAGATTACTCATCATGGGTATTGAACCAGCATTAGAAGCTATTGCTAGAAAATATAATTGTGACAAAATGATTTGCAGAAGATGCTATGCTAGACTTCCTCTCAGAGCTACTACTTGCAGAAAAAAGAAGTGTGGACATTCAGGAGATCTTAGACCAAAGAAGAAGATCCAATCAAAGAAATAATTGAGTTAGCTCTATGGTCTAATAATAAGATTTATTTAGGTTTATTTAATCTAGTTGAACAATGACTTTGATGTTTTCTATCAAAACTAATTAAACATAGAAAAATAAAAGGTATTAAGGGAAATAAACAACTGAAGAAAAATCTTATTTAAACGAATTGATATAAGATAGATATTTTTCATTGTATTAAACTCTTAAGTTTTTTATTAATTAAACCCTCTTATTTTTTTTATTATAAAATATAATTTTATTAACTATAAAATATAGTTTAAATGATGTTTTTATTTTAGGTTGTGATGTAACACAATTTCCCGAAAAAAGACGAAAAAATGAGCTAATAGGGGAAATAAAGAGAAATTTTTTCAAGAGAGTGAAATGAACTAATTTATTAAATCAGATATGTCGATTTCAAACGATGGAAAACGTATGAGAGGAAATAATGAAAGAAGAATTAAAAGAGATAAGCCATATAATAAAAGAAAGAAACAAGTGTTTGTTTTAATAATTGATATTGAAAAAGAATAAAAAGAAAAACAGAGAATGATTACATAGAGTGTCATCAGAAGATATACTCAATGACCAATTAGAGAAAATATTTGATAGAGTTATGTTTGTTATTCATTTATGAGATAAAATTATCTTTTTTCTCCTAAACAAGATGAAAAGACAATAAAAGAAAACTATTTTTGTTATTAACTTAATTAAAAACAATTATTGATTAAACATTAGATTACCTGATGAACTTGTTGAAATAAGATATGAGGTAATGAAACGTGTTGAACATGTACTAAATCTAAATTATGTTGATTTTATGTTTAAAGGACAAGTATATGGATCAACTCATTATGGTTTATGTCTAAAAGATGGTGATTTAGATATCTGTTGTACTAGTCAGTCAGGAAGACAAGTAAATCCTATTGTTCTAGAGTCATTTGCTGACTGTTTTAAGAGAAGTTTGTTATTTATTTATTTTTTTATTACTTTAAAAAGAGTTATGTAGTAAAAAAATCAAGATTAATGAAATAGACAAATTTGAAATAAAAAATGTTATTGAGACTGCGAAAGTCCCTATTATCAAGATGGTTGACTTAGAGACTAAAGTAAAAATTGACTTATCATTCAATCAACCGGTGGCTCAAATCCATTCAGAATTCTTTTACACAATGATTAATTGCGTTAAACACTTTAGGATTGTTGCAGTATTGTTAAAATATTGGTTAAAAATACGGAATTTGAATTGTCCATTTAAAGGTGGATTGTCATCAGCGGCGTTATGTTTTATGAGTTTGTTATATTTAATACAATAATATTAATGATTAACTTTTCTAGTATGTCATTATTTTACAACATTTGATCCTCCATTATTTCCATCTGATTTTCGATATTATTTGGTGCCTCCATGTGAGTTAAGGATTTTAGGATCTAAATTACCGGCACAAGTAACAATTCAACATACTCCAGCAAGTTTAGTTAAAGGGTTTTTTGATTATTATAAAAATTTTGACTTTGACTATCCTATTCAACCAACATTAGGTGAATTACCTGAAAATTACTTTCTTGTACCTGCAGTTATGACCGTATTAGATCCAATTTCACTTGTAAATTGTACTAAAGGAGTTTCAATGGATGGATTGAAAGCATTTAAAATGGAACTAACACGGGCAAGTAAAATACTAAATGAAGAGAATGATTTTAATAAATTACTAGAAAAACCTGTACCCTTTCCTGAATAAATGGATGTTTGTGTATCAATTTAAATGTTATAATGGAACTTTCAAAAATAATACTTTCTTTGGTTTAAGTAATTTTTTAATAATTTTTAGTAAAAGAATAATCTTAATATCTTATTCTTAGTTAATGGAATGGTGTAATATTAAAGTTATTATTCATCACGTTTCTACTACAGTTAATGGAATTCATATTGACAATGGTTCATTGTATATAAGAAATAATGAGTTGTTCGTTTCATTTGACCAATACAATTATTCAATTTTATTTCAGGACATTGACTCAATATTTTGTTTTCATTATCCTGGTTGTGCATTAATTTTTAATTGGTTTTCTGTATCTTCAAAAACACGTTCTTCAAATTATGTATTTATTATTAAAGAAGATATTACTCCTTTGATTAATGCTCTGTATGACTCAGTCAAAATAGTTGATTTAAATCAACCTGATATTATTCCAATAACTGTAAGAATACGTACTGAATTACAACTTCTCTTTGTTTCTAGTAGTTTTGTTGTATATCCATTTCTTGATTCTGTATATTTTATTTCAAGAAATGGTAGTTCTGTTATTTTTGAAAAGTGTTATACAAATAAAAAAACAAGAAGATGGAGAATTACTTTCATAAGTGGAAGTACACGTCTTGTTCCATATGCACATTGTTTAAATCCAATTCATACAAAAAGAATTTTTTCGAGCTTAAATTGGAATTTTTATGAATATCAACCTAATTTAGAATCGTTAGATGAAGTGTTGTTTCTTGCACAACAACAAGGAATAAATTTTGAAAACTCCTTAGAGAAAGGTAATACCTTTGGTCCAAAACAAAAAATGAGTATTATTACTTTTCTCAATAATGAGTCGAATTTAGTAGATTGACTTTTCGTAAAATATTATTTCCTCTTTTTTTCAAAATGAAAAAAAAATCGAAATAATAAAATCTCATCTTATTTATTTAAAGCATCAATAATTTGTCTGAATTTATTTTGGTCAGCCACATTACATTGATCACTAAAATTCACATATTCAACACACGTTTTGATTTCACTTATTTCTTTACTACTTCTATCTATTACAAGTTTTAATGACCATTCAAAAAAGAATTGATCAGTGATTACACTTGCTTCTCTTTTATGATGTTTAATAATAACAGTTTTTGGTGTAATGTCAATATCAACTCTCCATCCATTTGGGACATCTCTATATGGAAATTTCATTCTTAATGGAACATAATATTGTACAGCACTTGCAAACATACATTGTGTAATAGTTTTAAGAATAGAAAGCACAAGATCCTCTTCTTTAATATTTTCTTTTAAATAACTCTCTCCAAAAATAGCTGCATCTCCATTTCGTTTACCAGAAACATACGGAAAATATTTGTCATATGTTGAAGTTAACTTGTTTGCTAATTCTTTTTCATCTAATGAAGATGCTAAACCACAAACTACAGCTTTAATACATTCTTCAGCTTGATAGTCAGGATTTTGTTCGGATATTTTAGGTCCAGAAACAACTAATAAAGAGTCTTTAAATACTTGAACTTTTGGAGCAAGTCGTGGAATATCAATGAAAACAGATGTGTCTTTAACAGGACGAGAATAAACTGCTTTAATGTCATTCACCATTTCTTCTAATGCAATAACATCAGGCTTAAATTCAGGACTATAAAATGAAACATATCCATTTTCTTTTCGTTTAATAACATAACCAACAATAACAATTATAAATACAACTAAAGAAGCAATTGAAGTAACAATAATGGTGCTCATGGAAGTGATAACGTGATTGATTTTTTTAGATTTTATGAATTTTATTCAACACAAAGTATTATATCTATATTTAGCATTTTTTGAAATTATTTTTTTCAGTTTTTAATAATAACAAAACTAAAATTTTATAATATTTGTTAATTATAATAGAAATTGTAGTTTTATAAGAAAATTAACATAATAAAAAAACGGTAAAATAAAGATAGTTTCTTTAAAGAGCCATAATAAAATAAAGGACCAAATAATTGTATATTTCGAAATGAATGACTAAATAAAAATGAGCAAATGAGGAAATAAAATTTGGGTAATTTACGTCTGAAATTGATGATAACCATCTGTCGTTCTGATGCTTTTTGATAAGAGTAATTACGTTATTTTTGTGTTGAAAAAGATAAAAATAATAATTTATTTTTATTTCATAGTTAATAAAAAAAATGATATATAAAACAGAAAAAGAGTTGAGGTTTTATTATTAGAGAAAAAAAGAAAAAGTACAAGAAAAAGACAGTTGAAGTTGTTAATTAGAATGAACAACTTAGAAAATTTGATTCAAGAATATTATACTACAACAGATAATAACCGAAGAACTCAATTAAAAACATACTTAATTGAAAAAATAAAAAATAAAGAAGAAATTGAAATACTAAAAGGGTTATTACAAAGTTCAAATAATGCGTTTGTACAAACATATTGTATATCGTTATTGTCACAAGGAATGTTAGAATCTCCAGAATTATTTATTGGAATTTCTGAGTCTATTCAACTTCTTGCACTTCAATTATTTAAAAATAATCCTCAAATGAAAAAGTCAGCCTCAGGTCTTTTTGCTTCAAGTGTTATTGGGTGCTGGCAATTTGAACATAATACACAAAATTTAGTAAATACGTTTCAGGTATTATCAAATAGGAATTATGATGTTTTTGTTGAAATGTCAAATACTTTAATCGATGTTTGTTTTATACGAAGATATATTTTATTTTTCTTTTGTTTATTATATTATTTACATTTTATAGACATTTAGAACTTACCAAACAAAACCAAGTTTTCCAAAGAAAATCACCGCTGACTTTAGAAATAGTATATTAATGGCTATTACTGGATTAGCTGGAAATAATTTAAATAGACCAGGGATTGGTGCAATTTCTATTTTAGAAAATGCAATGTTTGTTTGTAATATTACAAAAACGGATGAAACAGATGAAACTTTTACGTTTTGTCCAACAAAAGAGTTTTTAGATTATTTTATGTCAATATTAGATACAATCATTTCAAAAGTTCCCGAATCTTTAAATTTGATTGATCAATTAGCACGTATTAGACCATCTTGTTTTGTTGATACTCTGGAAATAGAAGGTTCAAGAGAATGGTTTATTAAAAAATTAGTTAAAGTCGTTGACTATTGTGCAACAAGTGGGAGAGTTGAATTAATAAATTTGGGGTCTCAACTATTAACAGACCTTCATGCTACACATCCAATTTTTAGTTATATTAGTCAAGACT